CTACTTTTACAAAAGCAGTTAAGAGGAATTAGCTGGCTTTGCCTCCTGGGTCGTTCGTGTGGAATTATATTTGAATGGAATTGAAGAGAGCAACTCACTAACTTGAGGTAATAATTTTGTTGTGGGATGGGTGGGTGATAAGAATGAGGGAGAGGCTGCTGGGCAGTGGTGGCTCACGCCTTTAATCCCAGCACTAGGGAGGAGCAGGTGGAGAGGCAGGTGGATCTCTTGTGAGTTCGAGGCCAGCCTGGTCTACAAAGTGAATTCTAGGACAGCCAAGGCTACACAGAGAACCCTGTTTTGAAAAACAAAACAACAAACAAAAAAGAAGAGGCTAGGCAATGTGGGAAGTTTGGTGATTGGGACAGACAATTCATGGGAGGCTTGATTTCAGGGTGGGGCTGGAGGAAGAAGTCGTGATGTCAGGCAAATTTGAACTCTGGGTGGAAGTTGTGACTTCTTTTGAGTGATGACATAGTGAGCCAGAGGACCAGAAATGACTTAACCTTGTGTAGGCTTTGCTAGCTTGGCAAAAGCTGGCTTTCAGTGGGGTCCAGAGAAATGTTTATTGAAGATGGGCTGCAAAATGTGTTGAATTACAAACTGAAATTACTAAGTGCTTAAAATAAGTAAAACAGCACACCAGTGATTGGATACTTAAAAATTTACAAAGTGTTTTGTTGTAGTGCCACGTCTTTCCACTTACCTCTTCCCTAGCCTCTCTCTCACTTCCTTCTCTTTTGTATTTTACTTTAGTTTGTGCCCAGTCTGGCCTGGAACTTGACTGCTCCCATCTCCAGTGCTAGTGGCAATTACAGGCACATGCCACCAAACCCAGTATTTAGTGTTGGGCATCAGGGCTTCCAACTCACTTAGGCAAGCACTAGGCAAGCACTCCACCAACTCAGGGGCATCCCCCGCCCATGAGTGCTGCTCTGACGAACCATCCTGAATCTGTTCTTTCTGCATTTGATTACTCCCGTTCCTCTTTATTTTAAAATGATTTTTTTTTACTTTGTTTTTGTTTGTTCGAGACAGTTTCTCTGTGTAACAGTTCTGACTGTCCTAGAACTCACTTTATAGATCAGGCTGGCCTCGAACTCACTGAGATCCTCCTACGTCTACCTCCCAAGGGCTGGGATTTGTTTATTTTTATGTGTCTGTGTACCAAATGCATCCAGTTCCCAGAGTCTAGAAGAGGGCGTCGGGTCCCCTGGAACTGGAGTAACAGCTGGTTATGAGCAGCCAGGAGGGCACTCTGCAAGAGCAGCCAGTGCTCTTAACTGCTGATTTATCTCTCCAGCTCTGTGCCTCTTTCCAACACACTGGGAAGGTTCGGTCTTCTCAAGACTTTACGGAGTCCGTGAAATGGAGGCAATCATGGGTTGCAGGCTCTATTTTGACAAGCTTAGAAAAATGTCGGGCAGTAAATTATATCTACAGGACAACAGCAAGTGGGTGTCAGAGCATCTCTTATTCTGTCTCTCAACTCCTGGTTGGATGTTGGTCTCCGGAGGAAATTGAGTAATCTGTTCAGGGTGGCATCAAAGCCCCTTCTTAACCTATACCACTGATGTCAACGACGTTCCAAAAACCTTTGGAAAGGAGAATGTGGCTGAAAAAGAGATTACTTAGCTCTTGCTGGCGGCCTCTGCAGTTACAAAACCTGTTCTGCAATGAAATAGCTTGAGTTCTACTAAACCCCTCCCTCGCCATGACGTCACGAAACACACCCTATCATGTCATTGTCTGGTTACTTTGGGAAAAGATATTTTTAGTGTGGGGCAAGCACATGCTTGCTTTAGAGCATACATATATAATGCATAAATAAAAAGGCAGATTTGAAAGTGCCTTCAACATTACTGTTTTTCTTTTTCTTTATGTTTTGCAGGGTTGTGTGGAGGGGAACGTGAGGCGGGTCTTCCCACGCAGTCTATCTCGGCTCAGAGTGTCAGCCGAGAAGGCGGGGTCGTGACGTCGTTTCTGGGCGGGACTGGACTGTTCTAAGTGCGAGCCGGCGTGGGGGGACTCCTTAGAGACGAGGATGTAAGGCTCTTTGCCTTCCGGTTTCTCTCGGCCTTTCTCTGCGCGCTGGTTTCGACTTGCGCTATGTGGTGTGGAGAAGGGGCGGGGTCCCTCCTCCTTTCTGTTCCTACTGGAAGCGTCCACTTCGTGCTTGGCTGGAATTGAGGAGTCCGAGGTGTCAGCTTTAGGCTTGGTGAAGCGTGGTGGCTCCATGGCCCCACTCGGAGGCGCCCCGCGGCTGGTGCTGCTGTTTAGCGGGAAGAGGAAATCCGGGAAGGACTTCGTGACCGAGGCGCTGCAGAGCAGGTGTCCGCGGGTGCAGGGAAGCGCTACCGCAAGTGGTGGGCTTGATGGAGGGAGCAGGAGGGGCAGAGCGGGATGACTCAGGGCAGGAGAAGGTAGATCCTCACCGCCAGTAAAACAGCAGCCTGCACACGACCTCCTCAGAGAACAAGGGGACTGCCTCTGCAGAACTCTGGAGCTGTAGGTCTCTCTTCAAGAAACATGAATTACGATTACTACCCAGGCATCTTCAATGTGTCGTTACTGTTCTGTAATAGCACGGATTTATTGAATGTTTTATGCCAGACACTGTGCATCTATATAATTTTATTTAACCCACATAGCTTCTTTGTTAAGTAGTGTTATATATTAGCAATTCCAGGTCACAGATGCAGAAGAAGGGGCCTGGTGTGTGTGTGTGTGTGTGTGTGTGTGTGTGTGTGTGTGTCGTCCAGCTCCAGGGAAGGCTGATGCAGGAGGACCACTTGAACCTAGGAGTTCAAGCCAGAGTGGACAACATGATGAGATTTTGACTACTAAAAAAAAAAAAAAAAATGTTAAGAGCTGGGTAGTGGTGGTGCACGCTTTTAATCCCAGCACTTGGGAGGCAGACACAGGTGGATTTCTGAGTATCAGGACAGCCAGGACTACACAGAGAAACATTGTCTCAACAAACAAACAAACCAAACAAAAAGAAAATGCTACAATTTACCAGGGTCATAAAGTAGCAAATTCAGGGTTCAAATTTAGTTTTGTCTGCCTCCAAATAATCCTTTCCACTCACTCTGTCCTTCCTTTCTAGTTACTTGTTTTTAAAGATGTATTTACTTTATGGGTATGTTTTTGTTCTTGAGTGTGTCTGCATGGTGTGTGCAGGTGTGCTTGGAGGCCAAAAGAGGGCATCTGATTCCCCAGAACTGGAAGACAGTTGTGAGTCTTCGTGTGGGTTCTGGGAATGGAACCTTGGTCTTCAAGAACAGCAGGTGATGGGATTTGAGGTCTGTGCCACTATGCCTGGCCCACATCCAGCTTTTTAAAAACATGGGTTCTGAGGATTGAACCAAGGTCATCAGGCTTATGCGGCTAGCCATTCCCCAGCCCTGTAGTTTTCTTAAGTGGTAAGATATTCAGCTTTTTTTTGGGGGGGGGCTGGGGCTTGGGCTAGGAGAGTACAGAATGGGGAGAAAGAAGAAAAGTGGGGCTCTTCTCAAAGACCAATGTGGTGGTGGCACCAAGTTTTAGGGACCCAGTTGTTCTAAGAGGTTCAGGGGAGCCCTGAGAGGCCATTACCCAAATCCTTTATCACTAAACAATCACCATAAACTTCTAAATATCATCAGTCCTTAGCTCCAAACGTAGTCAGATAGAAAGTCAGAAGCCTGGGAGCTGGCATTAGTATATGACCTGCTACAGACTTCTTACCTGGTCTACTCCAATTTTGCCTAATGCTAAATGGACATTATATAGGATACTTAGAGGGATTAAATGAATTAATACATGAATTAGAATGATTCTTAGCCAGGACTAAAATGTTGACTATTTTTATTTACCGTTTTCCTTACCAACAGTTGTTACTTTTAGCTAACTTTCTTCACTCAACCTCAGTTTCTTCATCTGGAACATGAAACGTGGGCTAGTGAGGTGGTTTAGCAGGGAAAGGCCCTTGCTGTCAAGCCTGATTTGGTACTCACACGATGGAAGAAGGGAACCGACTTTTGAAAGTTGCCCTTTGACCTACACACACACACACACACACACACACACACACACACACTAAAAAGAGGGAGGAGGCAAAGCACTATTTCACCATGGAGGTGCTTATGTATACCTGTTTACATCTCAATGCCAGGTGGAAATTGTGACTCTTATGTTGGTATCACTTGGGTCCAAGTATAGCACCTAGTATATGGTTGATAAGTACAGTGAGTAATTGAAAGGGCGGATTATTAAAGTTATGGTGACCAGGTCAATTTATACCAAGGTCTCTGTGGCTCTGAGAGAGTGAGTTTAGGGTCCCAGTAGTAACCTGATCCAGCCAGAATATCGACAGGCATGGGGTTTCCCATGATACTTATTTTGGGTTCTACTTGTTTGTTTGGGGGCTCCTCTATTCCTGTGTGAGTGATAGGGCAGACAAAGTTATCTCATTATTTTTATTTTATAGTTAAGCAAAGAGGATCAGGGAAGGGGAGACCTGCCAGCTAGATTCCTATAGTAAAAATGAGTGACAGAGGCACTGAACTCCTCTTCTAGACACCGGAGACTCTTGGCAGCTTAGGGCTAACTGGGTTCTGATTCCCTGTCCCATAGACTTGGAGGTAACATCTGTGCTGTCCTGCGGCTCTCTGGTCCACTCAAGGAGCAGTATGCTCGGGTAGGTGGTGGCTTGTGGCATCTGGAGGGCTGGGAGGAACCTGCTCTTGTTGGTTTTTTGGAGCTGTGGCTGCCGCCTGAGTCACTGGCATGGTCCCAGTGACCCAAGACTCTAGATATGAGGCCCTATCTTTAGAAGGAACGAACAAAAAAGAAAAGAGAAGGGGTCCAGGGTAAGCCGTAGATGCTTGAGTTGGCAGTGCTGAGCTACGTAACTAATATGGATCTGTAGTCAGACAAGTCATCTATTGTGAGACTGGCCTGCCGTACTAATAAGGATCTGTATTGTCTTCCTCTTACTCAAAACTATGACATGCCACCATTGTCTCCCACCCAGCTGACCTGATGCAACCCTAGAATTCTCAGGGGTTGGGGAGATAGTACAGTTGGTAAAATGCTTGCTGTGACCTGAGTCCCTAGTACCTACATAAAAAGCCAAGCATGGCTATGCACACTTGTAATCCCAACACGGGGAAGGCAGAGACAGGCAGATCTCTGAGGCTTGCTGGCCAACCAGCTGAGCTTAATTGGTCAGCTCCAGGTCCCAGTGAGAAACCTTATCTCAAAAACAAAATAAAACCCCAAGGTGCATGGAGCAGCACCTGAGGTCTACATCTGACCTGCATATGATTGCACATACACATAACTCTTCTCCCACAGAAATTTAGTCACGTGTCTTGTCAAGATAGATGCCGAGATGCAGAGCAGTATGTCAATGTCCTAGTCAGTTTTGTTTTGGTGTAACACAGTACCTGAGGCTGGGTGCTTTATACAGACAAAGGATTTATAACTCAAATTCTGAAGGTCCATGAACATGGTGTTGGTATCCATTTAGCTTCTGGAAAGAGCTTTATGGTGGAAGGACAGTGGACAAAAGAAAGATCATGTACTAAGAGGGACTGAGGGGAGAGGTCCGAATCCTTTTATAATAACCTACATTTAGGGTGACCAATCCATTCCCACAAGAGTGGGAACTCATTAATCCTCCCTGAGAGTCAAAATACCTCAGGGACACCCTATTCTAATGCCACCATACTGGGAACAAGGCTGAACAGGAGATTTTGTTGGGGACAAACCATACTAATGACTTTGAATTAGAGTCATACATGATGGTGCGTGCATTTAATCTCAGTACTCGGAAGGCAGAGGCAGCTGGATCTCTGTGAATTTGAGGCCAGCCTGTTCTACTGAGAGAGTTCTAGGCCAGCCAGGGTTACAGAGTGAGACACTGTTTAGAAAGCCAGTCATTGTAAGTATATGTGCTCACATATCCAGCTCTTCTTCAGGTACATATGAGGTGCTTGCCCTTTTGGCACTGTTCCAGCTATGAGGGATGAAAACCTTGGCTGCTGGAAAAGACACCGTGGGAACTGTAGTGTTGGCTGCCTCAGGGAGGGGAGGGAAGGAGGAAAAGATTTTTATTGTAATGAACACATCTCTTGAATTTGGGTTGTTGTTATTTTACTATTGTTATTATTATTGTTATTTCTCTGGTTGTCCTGGAACTCTCTTTGAAGACCAGGCTGGTCTCAAACTCACAGAAATCCACTTGCCTCTGCCTCCTAAGTGCTGGGATTAAAGATGTACACCGCCAAGTCTGACCTCTTTTGAATTTTAAATCATATGGATAGAAAACATAAGATTATTGACTATTAAAATAGGATTAAAAAACTATAACTAGAAACTCCCAGCATCTTAGACTCAGGGAAAGAACACAGAGGCAAGGTCAGGTTTTCACACCTGAACCACCTTTGGTCACCGTGTTTGTTGCTGATCCTAGTGCACCCTGGAAGGGCCTGTGCTCACCTCCTCTCACTCAGGTGTCCTTAGCCCTGGCCCTCAGATTATTTCTTCTTCTTCTTCTTCTTCTTCTTCTTCTTCTTCTTCTCCTTCTTCTACTTCTTTTCTTCTTCTTCTTCTTCTTCTTCTCCTTCTTCTACTTCTTTTCTTCTTCTTCTTCTTCTTCTTCTGCCTCCTCCGCCTCCTCCTCCTCCTCCTCCCCCCGCTCTCTCTCTCTCCCCCCCCCTCTCTCTCCTCTCTCTCTCAGCTTTTTCGAGACAGGGTTTCTCTATGTAGCTTTGGCTGTCCTGGCACTCACTCTGTAGACCAGGCTGGCCTCGAACTCACAGAGATCCACCTGCCTCTGCCTACCGAATGCTACGATTAAAGGCGCCCGGTGGCTCCTCAGATTTCTACCAGCTTGGCTGATCTGCCTTAGAGTAGCAGCCTGAGGGACCACGGGGTAAGGAGACCAGAGGCCCTGCATTTTCTTAGGGAGACTTCTTCCCGAGTGAAGCTGCATGGAGGAGTTCCTCAAGCCCATGGTGGGAAAGAAGGCAGAGGGAGGATGCAGCCCTCCTTAGTCGGGCCTGAGGCGTAGTTTCAAACCCATCACCTGCTTCTGAAGTTCCCAAGCTAGGCTCTGTCCCAGTCCTGTTGACAGTGGGGGCTGGAGGAGAGGGAGTTTATTTTATTTTATTTTATTTTATTTTTCTTTAGTGCTAGAGATAGAGCCTTTGACCCCAGAAACACTAGGCAAGTGCTGTAATCTACCACTGACCCACTTCGCCAGACTCAGGAGTTGGCGTTTTTAAAACCTCCACAGGGATCCAGATGGCCTGTTGGTCCTTGATGTTTGACAGTCCAGCACCATTCCAGTGGTGCCTCCCACCTCAGCAACTTGAACCCCAAAAGGAATCTCTTGACACATTGATTACTTCGGTTGTTAGGAAACACCACTGTCCATGAGGGCCAGGATGCCCCTGGAGAATAAACAGCTCACAAGTAGGGCTGCTTATCTGCTCTCTGAACAGGGTCTGCAGCTGAGGGCCAGGACACCGAGAGCCCAGGAGAGGAGATTTCTCCTCATCGAGTTAGTAGGGAACTAGAACATGAACTGGGTGATTTTTTTTAAATTAAAATTTATTTTATATGTATAAGTATTTTTCCTAATGTGTATCTGTGTACCACTTGGTGTCTGGTGTTCTCAGAGGCCAGCAGAGGGCATTGAATTAACTGGAATTTTAATTACAGATGTTTGTGAGTCACCATGTGGGAGTGAGAAATTGAACCCAGGTCTTCTGCAAGAGCAGTTAGTGCTCTTAACGACTGAACCATCCCTCCAGCCTCTGGGCCATTTTATTTTTTTCTTCTTCTGTTTTTTTCCTAGGCAGGGTTTCTTTATGTAGCCCTGTCTGTCCTGGAACTTGCTCTGAAGACCAGGCTGGCCTCGAACTTGGAGACCTGCCTGCCTCTGCCTCCTGAGTACTGGGCTTAAAGGTGTAACTAAGAAATGGCTAAGAAAAAAAAAAAAAGGTGTATGCCACCACCACCTGGCTATGGGTGATAATTTTTGAGAATCCCTTCCTGTTCTGGAGCCATCTGGATGGATCATTTGCTTGTCATTGTCTCTGGAAAGGGAAGGGCATGTCTAGAAGCACTTCCCTGGGGGTCAGAGTAGTCCCTCCTGCCTATGGGGTCCTCTGGGTGTACAAGGCCCTAGGAATGCCAGGCCAAATGATGCTGTTTCAGCCAAGTGCCAGGACCTTGGGGATGGAGAAGGAAGGGGCAGATATATCTCTGGGGTTTGCAATGGAGGCAAATGATGCCAGAAGGATACAGGACTTCTGACTGGAATGCAGTTTTGCTTTAGTTTTTCAAATTTCCCACTTTGGTTGAAGGCTAAGGCTGTGCCCAGGGAATACAAACTAATTTCAAGATTAGTTTAAGCCAGAAACAATTGGGAAGATGAAACCCTCAGAAGAGAAAAGACAAACCATATTTCAAGCCATTTCTGAAATTATCCAAAGATCTCCCAGCGTTGTGTGTCTCAAGTCTAGCCCTTCTTTCTTCCTTGCAGCCTTTGCCATGCTCCAAATGCTTAGTGCCTATGAAGGGAGGTGGTGCCAGGCAGGGCTGGTACTTTCCATTTTAGGAAGGACTGTGTCATAGATGGACTGTGTTTTGGATAGGAGCATGGCTTGGACTTCCAGAGACTCCTGGATGCCAGCACCTACAAGGAGGCCTATCGGAGGGACATGATCTGCTGGGGGGAGGAGAAACGCTGTGCCGATCCAGGCTTCTTCTGCCGGAAGATTGTGGAAGGCGTGTCCCAGCCTATCTGGGTAAGGGCTCAGCCATGACTGACAAAATCTGTCTTCCCAGCCCTCTCCTGCGGCCATTTCTCATCTTCACTGCCACCTTGTGTCCAAGTCTCTAACATCTCAGTAGTCCTCTTGATGTGCCTCTGTGAGCCATTTCTGTTCAGAAGCCAGAGTGACTTTTTAAAAAGTAAGTCATATATTACTGGCATATCTGGAGTGCACTGGTGGCTCCCCACCACTCCCATGAGCAAAGTCCATGCTGTGATGTAACTTCTGGGGCCTTGAGGCAGCTCCTACATCCTTTCCCCTCCTAACAGCTAGAGTCACCAGCTTCTCTTACATCGATCGTGCAGTCATGCTTTTGCTTATTTTTCTCCTTCTTGTTTTGTTTTTTTGGTTTTTTGGGACAGGGTTTCTCTGTGGCTTTGGAGGCGATCCTGGAACTAGCTCTTGTAGACCAGGCTGGTCTCCAACTTGCAGAGATCCGCCTGCCTCTGCCTCCTGAGTGCTGGGATTGAAGGTGTGTCCCCCCCCCCCCCCCCCCCCCTTTTTTTTTTTTTTTTTTTTTTTTTTGTTTAGACAAGGTCTCGCTCTGTAGTCTTGGCTGGCCTGGAGCTTATTTTGTAGACCAGGATGGCCACAGACTCAGAGATCCACCTGCCTGGGCCTCCCAGGTGCTGGGATTAAATTTATGTATCACCGCACTTGGTGGATCACACTTTTTTTTTTTTAAGATTTATTTATTTATTTATTATATATACAACATTCTGCCTCCATATATGCCTGCACGCCAGAAGAGGGCACCAGATCTCATTACAGATAGTTGTGAGCCACCATGTGGTTGCTGGGAATTGAACTCAGGACCTCTGGAAGAGCAGTCAGTGCTCTTAACCTCCAAGCCATCTCTCCAGCCCTGCCTGGTTGCCCTTTCCTGTCCTTTTTATCTGGTTTACTCCAACAATTTTCATGTCACCTCCATGGGGAAGGCTTCCTGGATAGCCATCACCCCCCCCCAGACAATGTCTCATGTAGCCCAGGCTGGCCTTGAATCTCCCATGTAGCAAAATGACCTTGAGCCCTTGAGCCTCTTGCTTCTACCTCTCCAGGTCTTAACTATCCCACAGCCCCCATGCTGGGCCATCCTTATGCATTCTTGTGCTAACTGCTGAGTGTGTCCTTGTGCCAGGCACCTCCCCAGGTTCTGAGGATGTGTTGGTGCAAAATGCAATGAAGACTCTACCTTCAAGGAATTTAATGTTCTGGCTAGGAGTAGGGGAGACAGGTACCGAGTAAGCGAAGATGGTGCCAGGTGGAACAGAACAAGACAGGTGGAGGTGTGGGCAGGCTGGGGAAGGACTTCGGTTTAAAGGCCTCAGAAAAGGCCTCATTCAGCAGGTGAGGTTGACCTGAAGGAAATGAAGGCGTGAGCTGACTGGGTAGTTGGGAAAGTAGCTTTCTGGAAAGAGAGGCCAGAATGTGAAGGCTGGAGAGGGGCCTGTTCCTGGATGTTTGAGAAACAGCCATTTTCTGTGGTGGCTGTGGGAGGTTAAGGGCAGACCTTGTAAGGTTTTGGAAGTCACTGGGGGAGTTCTGAGAAGAGGACAGACACAGCTTAGGAATTAAAAGACAGCTAGGGCTGTAGACCAATGGTTGAGCATGTTTTAGAATCTGGAGATAGTTCTTGGTAGGAGTGTGGTTGAGAACCTGAGACTGGGGAGATGGCCCAGTGTATAAAGTCCTGAAGTTCTGATCCCCAGAACCCGCATAAAAAAGCCAGCAAGGAGCTGGGGCAGTATCTTAATAGGTAAAGGCATTTGTTGCCAAACCCGAAGACCTGCGTTTGATTGCCAGGACCCATATGGTGAAGGAGAAAACTGACTCCTTCGATTATCCTCTCTCTCTCTCTCTCTCTCTCTCTCTCTCTCTCTCTCTCTCACACACACACACACACACACACACACCCCTGGGATTATAGATGTGGTATGCATGTCTGTAATCCCAGCACTAAGCAGTCAAAGGCAGGGTTAGTGAAGGTCAGCCTTAGCTGTGTAGCAAGTTTGAGGCCAGCCAGGGCTACAGAGTGAGACTTTGTCTCAAAACCAAAGGATTTAACCAGCTTGCTCTGGCTGCTGGAGGGCAGGTAAGAGCTGAAGCAGAGAGACCTGGTGGAGGGTCCTAGGTGACGGCCAGCAACTGGCTGGAGCTCAGGGCTGTGAGAGACTTGGGAAGGAGTCAGTTTTACATGGATTTTAAGGATAGAGCCAGCAGAAGTTGAGTGGGTGATGAGTTGGTTATGGGGTAGAAGGACAAGGATTTAGTTCTGAGCAGCTGGACAAGCCATTTTCTGAGACAGAAAGGGTCAGGATTGGGGAGATCAGGAGCTGAGAAACTATGTTTTGGCCATTCTGGGCTGACATTTGTCAGTTCCTACTGTAGCCCTGGTTATTGGAGAAGCTGCTGTATATCTTGGGTCTCTCCTGCTGTATGGTGTATTCCAGTACCAAGAGAGCAGGGCCAGGTGTGTTTTGTTTATGACTCCATCCTCAAAGCTTGGCATGGTGCCAGTGCACAGTAAGTGCTCACAACATCCCTTACTTAGCGCCACAGCTGAGTGGCCATACTTAGAGGTGTTTGTTTAGTGAGCTGCTCCATTTCCCTGGCTTCTATAGCACTTGCCCCCACCTCTCCCAACTTCCCTTCCCCATAGCACTTTGTCCTAATAGTCACCTGTTTGTGTCTCTTCTCTGCAGCTGGTGAGTGACACACGGAGGGTGTCTGATATCCAGTGGTTTCAGGAGGCCTATGGGCCTGTGACACAGACAGTCCGGGTAGTAGCCTCGGAGCAGAGCCGACAGCAGCGGGGCTGGGTGTTCACACCAGGTAGGCTGCAAATGACATCCCAAAGCTCAGTGCACAGCTCAGCCACCTCCGTGCACTAGGTCTCCTGCTTGTTCCCCAGCAGGCCTAGGGAGAGAGAGTGAGAGGTTGTAAAGGGGGATTTAAGGCCTGAAGGATGGGTTGGTAGAAGGTCAAGTTCCTAGGGTATTTTTTTTTGACTGTCTTAAGGCCAGTGGACTTCTCTGGCCAGGCTCCATTCTTGTGGCCCTTTAGACTTTGCTGTCTAACCTGGTGGGGGTTGACAGTGGCTGTGAGCAAGCCAAACAACACTGTTTGATTGACAAATCAGGGAACCAGACAGGAAGTTTTCCAGGGCCTCAGTGGTGCCAGCTTAGGACCTGCTTTGCAGGCATTTGTGAAGTGCAGTTCAGGGGTGGTTTTTTGGATACACTCAGATTATTTATTTATTTATTTATTTTTTTTTTTTAAAAAAGATTTTATTTATTATGTATACAGTCTTCTGCCTGCATGCCAACAGTGGGCACCCGATCTCATTCAAGGTGGTTGTGAGCTACCATGTAGTTGCTAGGAATTGAACTCAGGACCTCTGGAAAAACAGTCAGTGCTCTTAACTGCTGAGCCATCTCTCCAGCCCCCCCCATTTGTTTGTTTTTCTCCCTTTTTTATTTATTATTATTATTATTATTATTATTATTATTATTATTATTATTTTTGAGACAGGGTTTCTCTGTGGAGCCTATCCTGGCACTCCCTCTGGAGACCAGGCTGGCCTCGAACTCACAAGATCCGCCTGCCTCTGCCTTCCGAGTGCTGGGACTAGAGGCGTGCGCCGCCACCTGGCTATGTTTGGTGCTTTATACATTTCCCCTTACATACTCATTGCTTTATAACTGCCATAAGGATGCTGCTATTCCTGTACTCATGGCAGATGAGGGCCCAGAAAGGTCAAGTCTCTTTCTCAAGGCTATGAGAAGTGGGAGGAGGCAGCCACACTGTCACCCTGCTTCCATCCCTGGGAACACAGCCTCCCAGCAGGCCCCAGTCCTGCACATGCCAGCCTGCCCCAACAGTGTAAAACCCTTTCAGTCCACTTAGTCTACTCTCTGTAGGCAATAGCAAGGGCAGAGTGATTTCTCCAGGGCCTGCCTGGGAGCTCAGATGGTGGTGGGAGGCCACGGCCGCACCACAGAGGTTCTCAGAGGGGAGGGACAGGGTGGATGCCTGGTATGGGGAGGCCTGACTACTCTCCTCTTTCTCCCAGGAGTGGATGATGCTGAGTCAGAGTGTGGCCTGGACAACTTTGGGAACTTTGACTGGGTCATTGAGAACCATGGAGACGAGCAGAGCTTGGAAGATCAGTTGGAGAACCTTCTGGAATTTATTCGTGCCACACTTTAGTGATCAGGCTTCAGGGCTGAGCAGAGACTGCTTCACTGGGGCGGATACTGGTTCTGTCAGATGTGGCTCCCCAGTCCTGGCTGAGGTCAGAGCAGGTGGACTGGCTCTAGATTTCCAGAGGTGTAGGGAGGATGCTCACAGGCAGTGGGCAAGTTTAGAATCCTCTGGTGTGCTTGTCTTCCCTGGAGAGGACGCCCTGCCTCTTCAGGACACTTACAGGACAAAGGAAGGTGCATTAGTTTTGTTTGAGGCAGGAGCATTACCATGCCCCTGGGTGGCCAGGTCTGCTGAGCTGTGATGGTTTTGCGTCCCTGTGTATGTTCCCGGCCCTGGAATCCTAATAAACCTCCTTGGAACACAGCTCAAATCTACAGTCCTCTTGTTTCCCTGATATCTTAGAGAAGTTGGGGTGTTAGGGTAGGTGTGGGTACTTGCTCTGCCTTGCACCTGGCTGGAGTGAATCCTGTAGAGGTTGACCTGAGCCTAAAGCCTGGGGCAGCTCTCTCTCCCTCCTCTATCTCCCCCCTCCTTTCCCTCCCTCTCCCCATCCTCTCTTTTGACAGGTTTCTCTATGTGACAGTCCTGGCTGTCCTGGAACTCACTTTGTAGACCAGGCTGGCCTC